CAAGGCAAAAAGCCTCCTGGCGACGCGGGGTCCACGGGGACCAGCTCAGCCCCCCCCAACCACGGGCGCCTGCCCGCCGGCATGCGTTCTGCTGGCCGCCGCGGCACCGTGCGCTGCCGTTCGCTCTCCCACCCTGCGTGCCAGGAGCTCCTCCGAGCTCCGCAGACACCTGCGTTTTCTGTCCCCAGCCCCGCGCTGACAAAGCCCCAGTCCAGCCACCCACAGGGCAGCAGGTTGAGGCTTCAGCTGACTCCTGGTGCAGGGAAACCGAGGCACGGCACAGCGTTTTCCATATGCAGCAAGTCTGTGGCTGAGCAAGGTGCCTTGCCTGGACTAAGCATCCCCCTGCGCTGTCCCAGTATTGCACAGGCCATGCAGACACCTCCACCTTGACCCACAGAGAGCCGGTTTGGGGAGCCCCTGGATGCCAGCATGTCACACTTGATGCTTGCCGGCTCTTTTTGAACGTACAGGAGCTCAGCCTGCGCTTGGCCCCGGCATCGCAGGGCGGTCGGGGCTGGGCCAGAACAGAGGCACCACGTCCACGCTCCTCCCCATGCCCCTGCTTCCTCAAGAGCAAAGGCCCATCACGGCCCACAGGCTGCTTGTGGCAGGTTTGGGTGTCTCCACCTTACAGCTTCGCCCGTAGGAAAGCTTCATGCCACGAACAGAAAACGGTCCCACAGGGAAGCACCGGCGATGCACAAGGAAAAGGAAAATCCCAGGGAAGCGGGCTTGTCCGCCCCTCAGGTGGGATGCCCAGACACCCAGGGGCTGCGCTGTGGGGCTGGGGCAATGCACAACCCCCTTCCCACTTTGGGTGTCTCCACCTTACAGCTTCGCCCGTAGGAAAGCTTCATGCCACGAACAGAAAACGGTCCCACAGGGAAGCACCGGCGATGCACAAGGAAAAGGAAAATCCCAGGGAAGCGGGCTTGTCCGCCCCTCAGGTGGGATGCCCAGACACCCAGGGGCTGCGCTGTGGGGCTGGGGCAATGCACAACCCCCTTCCCACTGCCCACCGTGCCAGGCTGGGAGGGCGCCGGGTCTT